TAGACGAACTAGAGATAATGTATCTTCTGTTGCTTCACGTGTACATATTATATGTAAAGGAGTACGACCATGTGGAACAGAGTCATTCTAAAATGGTTTTTTTTTGTTTTTTGATGAAATATAAAAACTCTTTACTATTCTGTGTATGTCGGTAACTGATGGATCAGCAAGTGATAAATATTCTTGACCACTTGGTAATGATTCTGCATTGACATGTGCTCCATGTTCTAATAATTGTTGAGCAATATCGATTACATTTGATGATAAACAACCACAAGCAATATGTAATGGAATTAAAGAAGCATGACGAACAACATTTATTCGACAATTAACTTGAGCTTTTTTCTTTAATAATAATTCAACAATATCTTTAACAGCAGCTCGAACAGCTAGAGCAAGAACTAGTAATGACCAATTACTAAGTGAAGAATTAGCATCACGACGAAGTAGAAGTCTAACAAAGAAATTCTTTAACAAAAAAAACATCCTTATCATACGTGTTATGGATCTAAAAATTGATGTATGCATACATTTCATTGGCAAAGTATGTATACAGAAATTTTCGATCCTACTGTACATATAATAACTGAGATTCGAAGCAATATAAACATATTTGATAAGAGAATAAACAGATTCTCGAAAATGTTCATCCTGAAGATGTTCATGAAGCTTATCAGAGAATTCGTAACCATAAGAATCTATTGATATTTTTGCGTAAATAATTATCTGATATATTTCATTAAAGTCTTACTTTTCTTATCTATATTATTTATTTTAATTGATTCAAATGAAGAAATGAATTTATCTTCATTGATTGTCCTTGCTCAACCTATTATATTTCTTGGAGTATTTGTTGTTGCTCTACTTAATAATACTCTATCTTTTGAACTTGATCATCTTGTATCTACTACCGATATTGATTTTGGAGTTAAAACAATAGGATCTACATGTTCTAAAGCTATATTAATTGTTTATTGTGAATCATTTCCATAATAAAGTAAAAAAGCAATAGAAAGTTGAGTCAATC